TCTACACCTCTCAGTATATATTATCTCCACACATCCCAGTATATATTATTATCTCCACACATCCCAGTATATATTATCTCCACACATCCCAGTTTATATTATCTCCACACATCTCAGTATTAAATACAAACATCCCAGTATATAATATCTCCACACATCTCAATATATATTATCTCCACACCTCTCAGTATATATTATCTCCACACCTCTCAGTACTGCCTACATATACCCCAGTATATATTATCTCCACACCCCTCAGTATATATTATCTCTACACCTCTCAGTATATATTATCTCTACACCTCTCAGTATATATTATCTCCAGCATATATTATCTCCACACCCCTCAGGATTACCTACGAACATCTCAGTATATATTATCTCTACACCTCTCAGTATTACCTACAAACATCTCAGTATATATTATCTCTACATCTATCAGTATATATTATCTCTACACCTCTCAGTATATATTATCTCCACACCACTCAGAATTAACTACAAAAATCTCAGTATATATTATCTCCACACCTCTCAGTATTACCTACAAACATCTCAGTATATATTATCTCCACACCCCTCAGTATATATTATCTCCACACCTCTCAGTATTACCTACAAACATCTCAGTATATATTATCTCCACACCCTCAGTATTACATACAAACATCCCAGTATATATAATCTCCACACCCTCAGTATTACCTACAAACATCCCAGTTGATATTATCTCCACACTTCTCAGTATTACCTACAAACATCCCAGTATATATAATCTCCACACCTCTCAGTATTACCTACAAACATCCCAGTACATATTATCTCCACACTTCTCAGTATTACCTAAAAACATCCCAGTACAGTGAAGCCCCGTTAGTCCGGACTCCGATAATCCGGATGTCTCGTCTCCCGGACGATTTCAGCTTGTTACCAATCTATGCCTATATAATTTGCCTCGATAATCCGGAAATTCGGTTTCCGGAACCGGACGGCAAGTAGCTGTCACCAATCAGTAAAATAAACAGTAAATTGCTTCACAGTCCGGACGCTGTAAGTCGTGTTCACGAACCGTAACAACACTTCCCGGCGATGTTTACTTAATTAACTGGCCAACTGGGCTGTTGTTTTAATTAGACATTAAAAGCTCCCGACTGAAGATGCTGTACATTTACACTTTGATTGACACCACAATACAAAGGCGTGGATGACAAGTGAGCTGTTTTGTGATTGGTTAATGTACTTTGACAGACAGATGCGGTCACGTGGACTTTTGCTTTACGACAACGCTGCAAGTCACAAGTGTGCTTCACTAACTTTGCGAAATGTGACCAAATACCGCGTATCATATTCAACCGATGGATGCAGGAATAATTCGGACATTCAAGGCATACTACAATAGATCGCTTGTTAGCCATTACCTCACCTGTGTTAAGGAAGGACGTGATCAGACACGTCGGATCAACATGCGGATGTCACTGGTAAAATTATTGATGTGATGAATTCAATAAGCTTTACATTAAATTCTTATTTGTTTTATCCAGATTCGTGTCGTTTTTGTAATAGTAAGGGAAGCAACTTGGGTCTTGATTCAGTAGTCTGGACTATTCGCAATCCGGACGAATTTGCTGAGAAACGCAACCGTCCGGATTAACGAGGCTTCACTGTATATATTATCTCCACACCCTCAGTATTACCTACAAACATCTCAGTATATATTATCTCCACACTTCTCAGTATTACCTACAAAAATCCCAGTATATATTATCTCCACACATCCTCAGTATTACCTACAAAACATCTCAGTACATATTATCTCCACATTTCTCAGTATTACCTACAAACATCCCAGTATATATTATCTCCACACCCCTCAGTATATATTATCTCTACACCTCTCAGTATATATTATCTCCACACATCCCAGTATATATTATGTATATTACCTACAAACATCTCAGTATATATTCTCTCCACACTTCTCAGTATTACCTACAAACATCCCAGTATATATTATCTCCACATCTCTCAGTACTGCCTACATATACCTCAGTATATATTATCTCCACACCAGTCTCAGTATTGCCTACATATACCCCAGTATATATTATCTCCACACCTCTCAGTATTACCTACAAACATCCCAGTATATATTATCTCCACACCTCTCAGTACTGCCTACATATACCTCAGTATATTATCTCCACACCTCTCAGTATTACCTACATATACCCCAGTATATATTATCTCCACACCTCTCAGTATTACCTACATATACCCCAGTATATATTATCTCCACACATCCCAGTATATATTATCTCCACACCTCTCAGTATTACCTACATATACCCCAGTATATATTATCTCCACACCTCTCAGTATTGCCTACATATACCCCAGTATATATTATCTCCACACATCCCAGTATATATTATCTCCACACCCCTCAGTATTACCTACAAACATCTCAGTATATATTCTCTCCACACTTCTCAGTATTACCTACAAACATCTCAGTATATATTATCTCCACACTCTCAGTATTACCTACAAACATCCCAGTATATATTATCTCCACACACCTCAGTATTACCTACACATACACCCCAGTATATATTATCTCCACACATCTCAGTATTGCATACACACACACCCCAGTATATATTATCTCCACACATCTCAGTATTGCCTACACATACACCCCAGTATATATTATCTCAACACATCGCAGTATTGCCTACATACACCCCAGCATATATTATCTCTACACATCAGAGTATTGCTTACATACAAACCCCAGTATATATTATCTCCACACATCTCAGCATTGCCTACACACACCCCAGTATATCTTATCCCTACACATCTCAGTATTGCCTACACACACACACCAGTATATATTATCTCTACACATCTCAGTATTTCCTACACACACACACACACACACACACACACACACACACACACAGAGAGAGAGATAGAGTATATATTATCTCCACACATCTCAGTATTGCCTACATACACCCCAGTATATATTATCTCTACACATCCCTGTATTGCCTACACCCATCCTTGTATTGCCCACACACACATCCCTGTATTGCCCACACACATCCCTGTATTGCCCACACCCAATCCTGTATTGCCCACACACATCCCTGTATTGCCCACACCCAATCCTGTATTGCCCACACACATCCCTGTATTGCCCACACCCATTCCTGTATTACCCACACCCATCCCTGTATTACCTACACACATCCCTGTTTTGCCCAGACACATCCTTTATTGCCCACACAGAACCCTGTATTGACCACACACATCCCTGTATCGACCACACGCATCCTTGTATTACCTACACACATCCCTGTATTGCCCACACACATTTCTGTATTGCCCACACACGTCCCTGTATTACCTACAAACATCACTGTATTGCCTACAAACATCACTGTATTGCCCACACACATCCTTTATTGCCCACACAGAACCCTGTATTGACCACACACATCCTTGTACACACATCCTTGTATTACCTACACACTTCCCTGTATTGCCCACACACATTTCTGTATTGCCATCAAACATCCCTGTATTGCCCACACAAAACCCAGTATACATTATCTCTACACATCCCTGTATTGCCCACACACATTCCTGTATTGCCCACACACATCCCTGTATTACCTACACACATCACTGTATTGACCACACCAATCCCTGTAGTGGCCACACCCATTCCTGTATTGCCCACACACATCCCTGTATTGCCCACACACATCCCTGTATTGCCCACACACATCACTGCATTGCCCACACACATCTCTGTATTGCCTACACACATCCCTGTATTAACTACACACTTCCCTGTATTACCCACACATCCCTGTATTGCCCACACACATCCCTGTATTGCCTACACACATCCCTGTATTACCAACACACATCCCTGTATTGCCCACACACATCCCTGTATTGCCCACACACATCTCTGCATCGCCCACACACACCCCTGTATTGCCCACACACATCCCTGTATTGCCCACACACACACCAGTATATATTATCTGTACACATCCCTGTATTGCCAACACCCATCCCTGTATTGCCTACAAACATCGCGTATTGCCCACACACATCCCTGTATTACCCACACACATCCCTGTATTGCCCACACCCATCCCTGTATTGCCCACACCCATCCCTGTATTGCCCACACCCATCCCTGTATTGCCCACACCCATCCCTGTATTGCCCACACACATTCCTGTATTGCCCACACCCATCCCTGTATTGCCCACACCCATCCCTGTATTGCCTACAAACATCACTGTATTGCCCACACATATTCCTGTATTGCCCACACACATTCCTGTATTGCCTACACACATCAATAGCCTACAAACATCACTGTATTGCCTACAAACATCCCTGTATTGCCTACAAACATCACTGTATTTCCCACACACATACCTTTATTGCCTACAAACATCCCTGTATTGCCTACAAACATCCTGTGTTCCCTACACACATCCCTGTATTGTCCCATCACATATCCCTGTATTGCCCACACACATACCTGTATTGCCCACACACATACCTGTATTGCTCACACACATACCTGTATTGCCAACACACATCCCTGTATTGCCCACATACATACCTGTATTGCTCACACACATCCCTGTATAGTTCTCATCACAAAAGACACACATACTGTAAGGAACACATGTCTTGGTAAGAGAACACATATCTCACTAAAGAATACACCTCTCATATACCATGGTAAAGAACACATCTCAATAATGTAACACATTCTGGCGAAGAACACATATCTTGCTAACAGAACATACACCATGGTAAAGACCTCAGATCTTGGTAACAGAACATGTATCATGGTAACAGAACACCTTCTGGTTAAGAACACATATCTTGGTAACAGAACACACATCGGTAACAGAAGACACATCCCAGACAAGAACACATGACAGTAGAGAACGCACACATCTCCAAAGAGAACTGCTCAACTCCAGGGCACAGATAGAACTGCTCAACTCCAGGGCACAGATAGAACTGCTCAACTCCAGGGCACAGATAGAACTGCTCAACTCCAGGGCACAGATAGAACTGCTCAACTCCAGGGCACAGATAGAACTGCTCAACTCCAGGGCACAGATAGAACTGCTCAACTCCAGGGCACAGATAGAACTGCTCAACTCCAGGGCACAGATAGAACTGCTCAACTCCAGGGCACAGATAGAACTGCATGCACAATTTGAGCCTGTTCCAATATATCTATCTTCCGCAAACGAACAATATTATAACACACCACCTGAGCGGCCGCGCCATTCACAAGAACTTGGCAAGATTAAAAATCAATGATGCATGTCAACATGATCAATGAGCAGACGAGAGGTTTCGCACGGTGGCTGCCGATTAAGTCTCCTCACAGCAACACAGTGGGCTGTGCCTCAACCCTCATAAAGCCATTATCTCTAGGTGATCATGTTTACGATTATTACCTGTAATATACTGCCTAGCAAACACACTTAGCATACCTCAATATTATAACCATAAATAATTAACATTACTGCGCCACTGTAAGTCTGTCTCAAATAGTGGGCGGAATTCCTTGAAGGGGCCGACATTTATATCAACTTTCATTAGTGTTGGCAGAAAGTTTCAACTGATCAATATGAATGCAGCTTAGATATGCCTGGACAGGTAATCTTGTTGACTTCACATGAAACATTAACACAAGAGACCTGCTGAACTATAACTTCTCCCACAGATCACGCAGGCGCCAACACTGAGGTTTGTCATGCCACAGGTGTATATGTTAAAGTTCCGGTGTCAGAGAGGCTGTAGCTATCTTGGAGTCTTGTGTTAAAATATCAGGTGAGTGTTTTGAAGAGAAGGTAAATCAAAGTAGCCACGTAAAGGTTACAACAAATTGAGAAGGCAGCTTTAAACTACCTTTTTAAAGATGTTTAAAAAAAAAGGAAAAAAAAGGCCGACATGTTCTGGCTGTTGTCAGAATCTTTCTTTCAGAATTAATCCCAAAGACAGGTAACAATGACAACCATATGCTGATATGAGGATCCACTTGTACAAAACAACCTCAGTTACAACCACCTCTACAATCTGTCCTGATGTCAGAGTTAATCTACTTGCATAAACCAATCTTTGCATGACTGTAAGGTACACTTATGATGGCTACCTTATTATCTTTGCTGAGATCCAAACATTCAATGGATTCCAGTCAAGTTCACGTCATAAGGACTATCAGTATTTCTGTTCTTACTGATGGTTCTGTGAGGTAGTGACTGTCCTTGAACAGCATGGATATATATTATAAGGAAGAAAATAGTTATCAATGATTTCATTTCTATCCAAGCTATTACATCGGTAGAAAAAATCAGATTGATTGTAAACAGACCATGTGAAAATGTTCAATAATCAATCCACAAAAGACACATCTTAATTCTTTCATTTTCTAAGATGTTGCTCTGATTGATTTTGATTTTTTTCAAAATGAAAAGTTTAGTCTGTTTTATCTGAGAGGACAGTGGCTGAACACTCTTCACTGTGTTATTCACTGTAAAACAGTATTGTATTTGTGTTACATTGTTTCTCTTGAGATCCAGTTGTGGAAGTGGTGTGCTGGTTGCTCAGTAACAGGGAATAGATGTTGGACAATGGGGTTCTACAACACTGGGGGCATCCAGAACAGTTGCTACATTGTGACAGGGAGTAGATGTTGGACAATGGGGTTCTACAACACTGGGGGCATCCAGAATAGTTGCTACATTGTGACAGGGAGTAGATGTTGGACAATGGGGTTCTACAACACTGGGGGCATCCAGAATAGTTGCTACATTGTGACAGGGAGTAGATACTGGACAATGGGGTTCTACAACACTGGGGGCATCCAGAACAGTTGCTACATTGTAACAGGGAGTAGATACTGGACAATGGGGTTCTACAACACTGGGGGCATCCAGAACAGTTGCTACATTGTGACAGGGAGTAGATACTGGACAATGGGGTTCTACAACACTGGGGGCATCCAGAATAGTTGCTACATTGTGACAGGGAGTAGATACTGGACAATGGGGTTCTACAACACTGGGGGCATCCAGAATAGTTGCTACATTGTGACAGGGAGTAGATACTGGACAATGGGGTTCTACAACACTGGGGGCATCCAGAATAGTTGCTACATTGTGACAGGGAGTAGATACTGAACAATGGGGTTCTACAACACTGGGGCATCCAGAATAGTTGCTACATTGTGACAGGGAGTAGATACTGGACAATGGGGTTCTACAACACTGGGGGCATCCAGAACAGTTGCTACATTGTGACAGGGAGTAGATACTGGACAATGGGGTTCTACAACACTGGGGGCATCCAGAACAGTTGCTACATTGTGACAGGGAGTAGATACTGGACAATGGGGTTCTACAACACTGGGGGCATCCAGAACAGTTGCTACATTGTGACAGGGAGTAGATACTGGACAATGGGGTTCTACAACACTGGGGCATCCAGAACAGTTGCTACATTGTGACAGGGAGTAGATGTTGGACAATGGGGTTCTACAACACTGGGGGCATCCAGAATAGTTGCTACATTGTGACAGGGAGTAGATACTGGACAATGGGGTTCTACAACACTGGGGGCATCCAGAATAGTTGCTACATTGTGACAGGGAGTAGATACTGGACAATGGGGTTCTACAACACTGGGGGCATCCAGAACAGTTGCTACATTGTGACAGGGAGTAGATGTTGGACAATGGGGTTCTACAACAGTGGAGGCATCCAGAACAGTTGCTACATTGTGACAGGGAGTAGATGTTGGACAATGGGGTTCTACAACACTGGGGCATCCAGAATAGTTGCTACATTGTGACAGGGAGTAGATACTGGACAATGGGGTTCTACAACACTGGGGGCATCCAGAATAGTTGCTACATTGTGACAGGGAGTAGATACTGGACAATGGGGTTCTACAACACTGGAGGCATCCAGAATAGTTGCTACATTGTGACAGGGAGTAGATGTTGGACAATGGGGTTCTACAACACTGGGGCATCCAGAATAGTTGCTACATTGTGACAGGGAGTAGATACTGGACAATGGGGTTCTACAACACTGGGGGCATCCAGAATAGTTGCTACATTGTGACAGGGAGTAGATGTTGGACAATGGGGTTCTACAACACTGGGGGCATCCAGAATAGTTGCTACATTGTGACAGGGAGTAGATACTGGACAATGGGGTTCTACAACACTGGGGCATCCAGAACAGTTGCTACATTGTGACAGGGAGTAGATACTGGACAATGGGGTTCTACAACACTGGGGCATCCAGAACAGTTGCTACATTGTGACAGGGAGTAGATGTTGGACAATGGGGTTCTACAACACTGGGGGCATCCAGAATAGTAGTCTGTCTCACAGTTCCCTACAAGCCCACTCTGCAGTGCTAAAGCCCTAAATAAAGCAAGTCTAGATTTCCCCTGGTTCAATGGGTCTGTTAACATCTGCTAAAACTAACTCACTTTGGGGGTGGGGCATACAAAGTAAACATATCTAACTGCCATCGGACCAACATCCTCACCAGTGGTCTGGAATCTTGCCTCTACATTTTCATCTGTCAACTCTTAATTAACAAGCTACATTGGGTGACATGAAGATACAGTTTCTGGTCTTGAAGAGACAAATCAACAAAAATCTTGGGGAAAGGTTCCTCCTGAATGTTATGTTGTAAAAAAGTATTGTTTCATTGTCTGATTTGGGTCCACACATAGCAGCCCAATTGTAAATGTGGTTAAGGATTTAATTGTAATTAAAACAAAAAGGTATTTTTTCTTATTCCTGATATAAGATTATTGTGCAAACACTGGTGTGTTTAGAGTATCTCTTTTATCTAATTGCTTAACAGTAAAACATATGGCAGGGACCTAGCATGCATGAAGAGTGAGTGAGTGAGTTTGGGTTTACACCGATTCAGTAATATTCCATATAGGGCGGTCTCTAAATAAGTCAGAATCTGGACCAGATAATCCAGTGGTCAACAGCATGAGCATCTACTGAATTGGGATACGATGACATGTGTCAACCAAGTCAGCAGCCTGACCACCCGGGGCCTTCTCAATGGGGAAGAATCAAATTCAAAAGGCACAGCATCCTCGAATTAAATCTGTGTACCTTCCATGTGATGGATTGAGATACAAGGTGAAACTAGTGAGGATGGTTCTAGAAATACCCAGAACATCTTCAAGCCGCAAGACAAATGCTGGCCTTTTCATCCAGAATAGTTTGTTTTAAAAAGGAGGTTATCTATATCCAGGGAGCATATTATACAAATGGAAACTTTTGAATTTGGAGATAAGTTCAAATTCATAAATAATTTTGTTGGTGTTCCACACAGATCTTGCACCTTGGTCATCTAGTGTCCAAGTGACATTGTGGGCTGCAAGTTTCCCAACAGTAAAATGTTAGGGCAATCTGATCCAGAACAGTTGTAATACATTGTGACAGGGAGTAGATACTGGACAATGGGGTTCTACAACACTGGGGGCATCAGAATAGTTGCTACATTGTGACAGGGAGTAGATGTTGGACATTGTGACAGGGAGGGTTCTACAACACTGGGGGCATCCAGAATAGTTGCTACATTGTGACAGGGAGTAGATGTTGGACAATGGGGTTCTACAACACTGGGGGCATCCAGAACAGTTGCTACATTGTGACAGGGAGTAGATGTTGGACAATGGGGTTCTACAACACTGGGGGCATCCAGAATAGTTGCTACATTGTGACAGGGAGTAGATACTGGACAATGGGGTTCTACAACACTGGGGGCATCCAGAACAGTTGCTACATTGTGACAGGGAGTAGATGTTGGACAATGGGGTTCTACAGCAGTGCAGACATCCACATTATTCAAGCACACACATTTTTCCAGCGCACACTGACCAAAGGAGTTAGAACAGAAAATTCTGCAATCTTTGTATACATGAATAAAGGGTGCACACTCTTTTCTTGGTGATCTCACATTACAACTGACTGACTGAGTTTAGTTTTATGCCGCTTTTAGCAATATTCCAGCAATATCATGGCGGGGGGACACCAGAAATGGGCTTAACACATTGTGCCCATGTGGGGAATTGAACCGGGTCTTCGGCGTGACGAGCCAATGCTTTAACCACTAGGCTACCCCACCACCCCGCCCCTTCGCATTACAAGAACACTGGCAGTTGTGTGAAGAATGTAAGTTTCACCCAGTCTAGACCTATCAGAACCATGTGCTTTCTTG